CTAATGGGTGGCCTTTCGCGGGGTCTCCGGCTCCAGTTGGCCTGGAAACATCCAGGGGAGGCGCGAGCTGCGGAGTGGAGGGAATGAAATAGGAGCGGGAGGCTGAGTGGAGCCGGCGGCCGGGCTCCTCCCGCGTCTTCCCAGTCTCGAGTACACTTGCCTCCGTTCCTGGCTCCGCTTCTCCTCCTCCGCAGCTCCAGACAGGCCACCACTACCGGGTCCCCTCAAAAGTAACTTCTGGGGGACTGGGCTCGTAGCTTGCCTAGCGTGCGCGAAGCCCTAGGTTCGGTCCCCAACACGGCAAAAACAAGGAGAAAAAGTAACTTCGCCACTTCTTCCGGCAACCCCCCGCCTCGCGTCATTTCCGGAAAAGGGTGGCTAGCGAAAGGTGACGGAGTTCCGGTTCTCTCCGGCCCTTTCTGAGGACTACCCCGCGCGGAAGTCCTCGGCTCACTGGATTTATTTGTCCGGACAGTTCATCTAAGGTCCGGAAAGAAAGTTCCGGCGAGCTCAGGGAACGTTGGGTTTTCGAGCAGGGTGGACGGCCGCAACCTCTAAAGCCCGGTGCTCTGTGGCCTTAGCCGGTCCTTGCGCTTCTCTAGGCTCCAGCCAAAAATTTAATGGTCAGAAATCTCCCCGGCGGTGGCTGCGTCTCGCACATGCCTAATTTGAAGAATGTTTGACCTCTTTTGGTTGTTGCGAGTTTTCTGGTTTTGTAAGCATTGCATATTGGTTTTAAATAGGTTCAGTCCCAGACCTGGATCCAGATTGGTTTTGTATTTTGTTTTTTCTTTCTCTGGTGCTTGGGATGGAACCTCGGCCTTGTGCGTGCTAGGCAAGCTCTCTACCATGCAGCTACACCCCCAGCACCTGGAAAAAAATTTTTTAAAAAAATTTTTGGTGATTGGAAGACTTGAATAATTAAAAAGCTTTGTCTTCTACTGGAGAGTTAAAAATAATAGCTTTCCAATAAAAAAATCAGAATAATTGAACATACACAATCAAAATATCCTCAGTTTTCCCCCAGGGGTAACCAGATCTTTATCAAGCATGTTGTATACTTTTTTTTTTTTTAATACCAAGGATCGAACTCAGGACCTTGCACTTACGAGGCAGGCAGCGGTGCCACTGAGCTACAACCCCGGCCCTATGCTTTTGTTTTGTAATCAGTTGAGGCTCACATCCATATCCTGGCTTATGCTCAACTGTCTAGCTGCTCTGCAACCCCCGTCCACGAATGCTTTAAAGTATATTTTATGCGTGTCCATATACATATGTATGAGAGATCCATGTTAGACCTTGTCTATTCATTTTCTACCCCCTTCTTGCTCTCTCTCACTGAGGAGCCCAGCAAGTGCTGAGCTACATTCCCAAACCTTATTTATTTTTAACAGGTATTGAACCCGTTACCAGATGGTGGGTCCCAGAGGAATTATTTCCAGGTCCTCAGTGTCCTGAACAAAGAATCAGACAAGACACAGGAAAGGCAGCGGGGTGCACATGTATTGAAGGTGGAAAAGAAGTTGGCCCTGCAGAGAGAGGGGCGGAGAGCAGACTCGCAAGAGGCAGGGAGGATAAAGCAAAGGGTCTCTGTATCCGCACACCCTGGACGGCTTCTCCCCAATACAAACAGGGCATCGGGACCCTTGTCCTATCAGAAACTCGCTGGGCGGTGCCAGGGTTGAACTGTCCTATCAAAGGCTCAGTTGGCCTCACGCTAGATGTAAAGGAAGAATTGCAAACAGCACTTTTCTGATTGATTCTAGTACAATGAGAAGCAAAGGAGCTGCGTAATTCCCTTAAATTTAGGAGGTTGTGATGCTGAGGCTGCAGATTACCGACAGCAGAGAGACCTAGAGATGACTCGGATCAGATATGCCTGACCTGGCCCTCCACCAGAACCCTGAGTTACTGAGGGCCCTTTATTTCCCTGCACCCCTCCCCACCCTTCTCCCTGTTCGTGTGAATACTGACCTCGAGCTTCAATAAACCTAGCGAGGTGTGCACTTGGCAATTCTTTCCTTGTCCTACACAAGAACTTGGATAATGCTGGGCCCACCCAGTTGTAACAGCGCCTCCTAGTGTTCAGAAAGTGCACAGTCCTCCTGGACCCTGTGCTCTGTGCCTGTGCCCTGGGTCTTGTGCCGTTGACAGACTCTTCCCGGTTGTTTGACCAATTTTTTCCAAGCTCTACTCAACTCCTATAAAACCAGAGCCTTCCCTCGGAGCTACATCCCCAGTCCTTCTTTAATTGTTTTATTTTAACACTAGGTCTTGCTAAGTCACCTGGCTGGGTTTGAACTTTTGATCCTCCTGCTTCAGCCTCCCAATAGCTAGGCTTACAGAAGGGTGTAACCACACCCACCTCATTTATTCTTACACTAAAAGTTATTTCTAACTTTCTAGTGTTAGAAAAGTGCAAAAGGAACCAGACATGGTAGCACATACCTCTAACCCAGCACACAGGAGGCTGAGGCAGGAGGATGGCTGCGAGTTTGAGGCCAGCCTGGACTACATAGTCAGATCCTCTCTCAAAAAACAAAAATAGAAATTAATTAATTAAGATAAATGAAATCAAGTAAAAAGGACTACAGCTTAGATCGAAGGCCCTGGGTTCAATCCCTATTCGTGTGTGTGTGGCAAGAATCAGATGTGATGGTGCATGTGTGTAATCCCAGCACTCAGGAGGCTGAGGCAGGAGGATTGATGTAGGTTTGAGGCCATTAGGGGCTTCATAGTTCAAGCGAACTAAGACTGTAGAGCAAAACACTACCCCCTCCTGCCACCCCAAACCCCAAAAAGAGAGAAAAGAAAGAAAAGTGCAAATGGCTGAAACGGTTAGAAGATGAATTACTGAGCAGTACTTTTGAAGTGAGTCCAGCCAGCCTTGTCTCAAGGTCTCAGTTGACTCACTTTACGAAATAGAAGGAATTCTGCCTTGTTTTGTTTTGGAACCGGGATCAAACTCGGGACCTTGTGCTTGGGAGGCAGGCGCTGGAACCACTGAGCTAAATCCCCGGCCCTGTGTCTTATTGTTAATGAGGCAGAATTAACCATAGGGCAGAGAGCAGATAACCCTTGGGCCTTCCACTTGCTACTTAAAGAACTGTACAGTTTGTTTTGCACAACCTCAGGAGCGGAGAGGGTGAGGCAAGAGGATCGTGAGTTGAAGGCCAGCCTAAGAAACAGCAAGCTTGTCTCAAAAAAGCAAAACTAAAATAAAATAAAATAGAAGTATGATTAGTATTTTCTTCTGAGGCCGTCAAGGAGTTACACGCTGCCTTTGCTAAAGAAAAGTGGCTTCCCATGGGCTGCACAGGCCCAGTGAGTAACTAAAAGCAGAACAAAGCCTTGCCTTTATTTTGTATCTCTTTGTTTTGGTGTGTTTTTATTTGTTTTGTTTTTGTTTTTGAGATAGGGTCTCACCGCCCAGGCTGGCCTCCACTCCCGCCCCCCAAACTTGACTGTGGGGGGCGGGGCCATGGCCCTCTGGCATTTGACATTTGAAAGGAAACTTCCTCCTCTACAATGAAGGCATTGATACAATCTATGTAACATTTATTCCTTTTCAAGGACTCTGTTTGTTAAATTTATTTGTTCTTTGACCCTGGGATGGGAGGAACTCGAAGAGATAGCTAAAGATCTGGTGTTATCTGTGGGAGTCGGGAGATCCGGTTTTTGCATAAGAAAAGTTGGAGACGTTTGCTTGGTGCTCCCTGTGGATGGGCCTTTAAGGGAAGCTGTTTCTGTGAAATAAATCAGACTTCTCTTGGTCTCCACTCAGGCCCCAGTGTTCTTCCCTTACTCGGTCCTCACTTCCCAACTCAGGCTGGTTCGTGTTGTGACCCAAATGGTGCCCGAACAGGGACCTGAGTATCGAGGGATCCGGTGAGGGACACCGCAGAGGAGCAGGCTGAGCTAAAAGGTAAGGAGCGGTGAGTTTTCTTGTAAATATTAAAGATGGGAGCCAGCATTAGTTGCATGCCTTTCGTACGCATGTTTAAAAATGTCTTGGGCATAGAGGGACCTGAGGCTTATGATGACTGTAAAACTGAAAATGAAAGTGTCGTTCCGACGACTCCGCCGGAACCTCTAGGTCCTGAGGAGGAAGCTGCTAAATATTATGAAGGTGTACGGCCGCCTTCAGTGGCAGCAGCCCATACTGAGGATTCAGAAAAAATTCAGTTGGAAGACAGGATAGATAAGTTAGAAAAGGTGATAGAAAATCTGTCTCAACAAATGAAAGCTCAGTGGATTAGTAATAAACCCCCTAAAAACAAGCCTAGTACAATTGC